GATGTGCACTGTGCAGCGGCGGGAATAAAAATATCAGGAGACTCGAGCGTCGGAATATTAAAATATAACGAGTGAGTTGTCCGATAGTGGGAGTACGAATATAACAGCGAGGCTGGGGTTGGAGGGGGCGAGAGGGGCGGGAAAAAGAACGGAAAACTCAGGAAGGTCGCGACTGTGTTGCTTCGTTTTAAAATTATCCGGGGGAAAAAAAACCCGGGTGAATCGAGGAGTCAAGTGGAACGGAAAAAACAAGCGATGCGTCCCGGCTAGAGATACAAAAGGACAGTAATCAACCCCCGTCGATTGGAGCCCTGCGATGGGTTGCCGGATTTCTCGAAAATTGCGAAAATTTCACGGAAAGATTTTAGATATCGTCATCTTTACGACTAAAGTATCGCAAGCGCCATGCGACGTTTAAAAATTTCCGCCGCCATTTTATTTTTTCATAGAGAAATTGTTTAACGAAGCATTCCGAAAAAATCACTGAATTTTCATTGGGCTACCAATGAAATTTATTGAAATTTTCAAACAGATTCAACCAAAAATTTCTCTGTAAAAAATAAAAAGGCAGCGGAAATTTTTATACGTCGCATGGCGCTTGTGATACTTTGGCCGGAAGGTTACGATATATCGGCTTGTTCTGCCGTTTTACCGACACAAGCAATGCCACGGAGAAAAATCGTTCGGTTCATATCGAACACTTAAGTTTTTTTGCTCTGGTGACGGAAGTTTTCGGTTTCAAGGACCGTACTTTGATTTAGCAAAGTGGAATTTGGTTACTTTAGTAGAAAACATTGGTTACCGGAACCAAGAAACTTTAGTGTTTCATATGAACCGAAGTTCTGTCCTTGTAATTGAAGTTTTTTCACCGTGCAAAAATGGAGTTTTGAAAGGATGGACTTGGTCTCGACCTACGGAAAATATTTCAAAACAAACCTACTGTTTTCCTTAAAATTGTCAAAAATCATGCAAAGTAATATTAGGAATCATTCAAATAGTGAAAATTTGACGCAATTTGAAATAACATTATTTTTTCATATTTAGAATAAAATCCTGCATACAGCCGGTAATTTTCGCGATCGTTTGCTTCATTTATATTATTTACCTTGACTTATTAAAAAATATTTAAATCGCGGCCAGCATTCCGAATGTATATTATTTTCCAAAAATGTATTCTCACCTCAACGTCCGTCGTACCGTTGAAAAAAAAAAAAATTAAAAAAAAAAAAAAATCATTCTATTACTTCCCATATAACTTCTTTGAGCAAATCGTCACTTTTAAAGTGTAAAGTTGAGCATTAAATAGGTTTCGGGACACATTGCGATTCTCAAAGGGTAACAAATGGAGTCAAACAGCAACTGCAAAGTAAAAGACGCAAGGGCAAGAACAAGGAAAGCGCCTTCAATTTTGCCTGTATGCAACACGGACAGCCTCAGAGCTCGAATAGTTGCATTCAAGTGGTTTCGTCCACTCTGGCGAAAACCAGCGTTTCTAAAAACATTTTCGCTACATCAAAATGAAAATATTAAAAATAAAATAAATCAGTAGCAACAAACGTCCAAAAACTTTAAATTGTGAACTTGAAAAAGACGCTTGTTAAAAGAATGTCATTAGGGTCTACTCAGGAGGAAACATCCTTCCAGCATTCTCTTAAGTTAACTTTACGAAACTTAAAATTTAAATCAAATATATGTTTGAAAAAACTACAAAACAATGTTGAAACAACCCACATATAGTGGAAACTAAGAAAAAGAGGTTTGAAGTTTTATTCCTGAATAAGGCTCAATGTAGAAAATAAACTTTAACCCCTCTTTTCACAAACTAATTTCTCTTCTTTCGACTTTCAATTTTCGGCAGAAGAAAATATACAGCTAAAGGAACTCTAAAACATTCTTAACTCAATTTTTTCGAAAAGAAGGGTTGGTTCCTTTCTGATAAACTCGGTCCAAATCATAATGCCAAGAAAACTAGACTGCCTTTAATTTATCTCACATGCAACAGGGACGGACAGTTGTAGAGCACTAGTAATAGCATCCAAGCATTTTGGGGTCCCTATTTGGCATCCCCGCGGTTCAAGGGTGGACACTACGAAGCTCCAGGGTGCGGCGGGAGGGGCGTGCTGCGACGAAGGGCGACGGAGCGAAGCTGGGACACATCGACGCAAGCTCATTTGGGCAGGATCTGTTTTTTAGCGGACAGCAAACAAATAATTTAGTGACGAATTGACCTGTTGATAGCGCCCTGGCCCAGCGTCAGCCGAGCTTTGCCTTCGCGTGACTTGGACTTTTTTCAATCTTCTCCGCGGACCCGACCCTACGTCCGTCGCCGGAGCTTACGAAAAGCTACCCCCTCCTCACCCTCCTCACTCCCACGCCCCCTCTGTCGCGTATACCACATAAGCCACGAAATAGAGAAAAGCTTAGGATCTATTCTGCAGTGCAATTGAAAAATGTCGTATGAGCCTTCAAGCGTTGCCAAATTTTCTTCGATGAAATGCGAGTTTGCCAGAAATCTTAAGGATATTTTCCTCCCTATCTTTCACAGAATTCTATTCGGAATTCATTCTACAGTATCTAAAAAATTCAAGGAATGACACTCATAACTCCCTTCAAAAATTAATATTTTATAAGAGGAAGCTTGGCAACTCTCAAGTCTTCATACGGCGTTTTTACTTAGCACAGCAGTATCTAAGAATGGAATTCCTGTGAAAGTTGTAAATTTTTCTTTATTTGATGAACAATTTTAACGTCCAACGAGTCCAAAATGTATTGCGATCATTCAAGTTGGGACAGTTATGGAGGAGGAGAGAGAAGAAGTTCATGTGAAGATGTTTAGCTTTAAAATAATAAGTGTGTAAAAAAAATTTTCATCTGGAAAATTTACCATTTAATATCACTGCCTAGAAGCCCTGGCTTAGTTTGGAAGTTAAGATGCAAATTGAAAGGGTCGTATTTGGTGTCCTAAGTTGGGTTTCCTCGTAATTTCCCTTAAAATACCAAAAAATAGTCGAATTTGTATCCATAATTGATAAATTGATACAATTAGGAGAAAACGAGGAGAACCAAATGTGGACACCGAAAACTACTCTGTCAAGTGATGAAACTTGAACTGAGCCGACATCCTTCATTATTTACATGTAAAAGTGAGGTTTGCCACGTAGAAACTTTTCTTGCGTCTTTTGCCATTTTAGGGGCTTGAACGACTTGACGCAAAAGTGCAGTTTTTGAAAAAAATGAGATATTATAGATTCCAAGTGAAACTATAATCTTAATACATATCTCGTAGAAAATTCGCTCCCAAATTCCAATTTTTAAACATCAGAAAGTCGGTTTGGACTTCCTTTCTGTTGTAAAGATCCATGTAATTTCGAAACTTCAAACACGTATTTCTCGAAATAGCAAAAACTGAACTTTTGCGCCTTGTCCTCCGAGCCCCTCGTTTGGGATCGACTTCAGGGTCAAAAAAGGTTGTTTTGGGCTTCTGTCTTCCAATCAATCCCACCTAATGAGAAAACGATTTCTTCAATCGGAGTTTTACCTCTCGCTCGGAAAAACAAAACGAAAGTGCAAAGACGAAATCGAGAGAATTATATCGCGGTGTAGTTTTGCGGGAACGGGGAGGTTTTCAGGTTTGTCGAGCGGCGATATTTTCTAATCCTAATGAAGTCTTCGAGCGACGACGTTGGTGGAAGATTTATACGAAGGCAGCCCTCGGCCAACTCCGCCTGCTCACCGTCAGCACATATACCCCGTAGCCGAGGGTCAATACTCTTGAACCGCAGACATCTTGGATTCCGAAATCGATTCCGGTGCAATCTTCACCGAGTGACACTGCATGCAAGGAACCTCCCCAACCTCTTAGCGAGCTTAAAGAATGGCTTTTGATTTTTTTCTTCTATTCTTCCCTCTGATAAATGAAGAGTGGAAAGATGGCTAACCTCTCAGGATGGGCGGTGCCCTTGTACTGATCAAGCGGGCTGGTTATTGAAATGGACAGACAAAGCGATAGACAAAGAAGACATAAGGAGTATGGAGCTATCTTATCGGTTGAAATGGATGGTTCTTATAGACTAAGGGAGAAAATGATGGACTGACGATAAGGTCTCGCGAGTTGCTGTTAGTTAGTCTACTACCTACCTCCTTTGCCTATTGCAACTACCCGCTTCCACCAGTAGGATCGCTTAAGTTTCCCTTCGTCTGACTTGTCTATCACTATGTCTACCAATTTCAGTAATCAGCCCGAAAGCCCCATGGGGACCCTCAGGACTCAAGAGACAATTATAATCAGACGGATGTTGGCCAGGCTGGCCTAGCAGTCGGCGCGTCTGACTCTAGACCAGGCCCCGGGTTCGTATCCCGGTGGTGGCGACAAATTTTCATGGAACTGACGAGTGGATTTGCAGAAACAGACTCCACTTGGCCTTAATCCCTGAAAATTTGAAAGCCTGGAGTATGAATGTGTACAAATCTTAACCCGATGCTCAACGTTCAAGGTTGCAGAATCTTCAAATGGATTAAATACCCTACAGTTACTTACGACCAATTTGGATTTCTTTGTTATATAATTTCATGGCATATTGAATTTTATGCCATGAAATCCAATAACAAAGTAAAATACAAATGCTCCTAAGTGACTGTATGATTATTATTATTATACTGGTGAGGTAAACGATTATTGATTAAAAACACTGGGAAAAAAACACATTGGATCTAGAGTCCAGACTCTTAAAAACATTGACAAGAAAAAATACTCTTGATTCAATCAGATTTAAGCTTAAATCAAGAACCAAGCCTCTTAATTTGAGCGGATTTTCTTTTGATTTAAGCTTCAATCTAATTGAATCAAGAGTACTTTTTCTTGTCAATGTTTTCAAGAGTCTGCGGACTCTAGATCCAATAAGTTTTCTTTTCCAGTGAACCTCTAATAACTTAAAAAAGAAGAAAAGAGGGATGTTATTTGGCGTGTTAAGATACTCTATAGTGAGGGAACTTGAGCTTACCTGTCATCGTAGACGAATCCGGCTTGAAGGGTGTTGAGGTAGACTCCGAGGGCGACGAGGCCGGAGAACCAGCCCCAGAGATCCCTGCCCTCGTCTTGGGGGCGGGGGCGGGACGCCATGCCGCGGATCCACCCCGCGGATTCCCCGCGCCGCCCGGCCAGCGGGTCCCCCCAACCGCGCCCTGAAAAAAAAAAAAATCACAAAGTTAGTCAATTTACAGAAAATATTACACAAAAATTTCGGTTGATGTGGAAAATGGAACACAAAATAACCAATCCCCCCGGTTGATTCTGACACGGAGAAGAAGGATTAGGAGTTATCCCCTAAAATTGTGGTATTGCCCCAATTTGCTGGTTGATATGGGCATTTCCAATTCATTGTGGTGGTACCCCCACTCAATTTTGGCGGTAAATAAATTAGGTTACATTTTAATGCCACATTTGGCTGACTGAGCTGTATGGGACATAAATGATGCGAGCCAGGGAAGGGAACGCGGTGGTGTCATCTTCACAGTGTGATGCGCCTTCGATCCAGCTAGCGGCAATATGCCCATACACGAGATCGAATAGTTAACGCAAATAATTTTCGCCTCGAATTGCGCCAAACGCAATGCGTGAAGTATTCATGCGGTCTCGTAGGCGCTGATATGCGTCACGCCGCCCCGATCCGGCCGACCGCACTGTTTGGCGCAATGCGTGAAGTTTTTCTATAGTCTTGCAGGCGCTGATATGAGTGTGACGCCGGCCGCACAGTGCTTGACGCGATTATTCGGGATGCATTAACATAAAAAGTATGTTATTATAAAATATGGTCAATATTCAAATCAATGGCATTAATCCGGCGCGGTTAAAGTATTTAAATAGCGACGGAGACCGGACTTGATTGGATCAAGTAGATCCTCTTGATTTGGAAGCCAACCAAATTTTCAACAATATTCACGTGATGCATGTATATGTTTTCAGTGATCCATTATTGCTTTAACTTCAACGAATAATTTTCGTCATAAAAGTATGGGAAGTAAAAGAGAAAGGGCAGAGAACAAAACTCGGCTGTTGAATAATTGGATCGCGTTCAGCAAAAAGGAACCAGCGCGATTACAGTATCGTAAAAATGCTATATTTTTCCATAATCATCTAAGAAATTTCTCAGAACGGCAAATTTTGTTTGCTTCCTAACAAATAGTTGGCAATTTTAGAAGACAATAATTGTGTAAAATTAAATACTTTACATATATTAAGTATTTTTAAAAGAAGAGAAGTAGTTGCACGATTTTTGAAACTGTGTAATCGTGGTGGTTCCCTTTCGCTAAATGCGATCCAATTGAAAGGAGGAGGAAAGTCCTTTTTCTCCCGAGGCATTTTGTGAAAGCTCCGATTTTGATAATTTTCTCGCAATACGATCAACAAATCTGTGTGCACCTTTTGTAAGTTGGATTCCACTTAATTAATTTCAGAACATCTTAAATGAAGCCGAGACAAAATAACGCAGCCGCTAGGACCAACTCATCGGAATCCGATTAACGCGATCATTATCGAAGCACAATTCTGCCGTGTTGAGGAAAAACTCCGTATGAACCTTCAGACGTTACTAAATTTCCTCTAATAAATCAAGAATATCTGGGAAAAGTATTTATGTAGTAAGTATTTTTTTCTAATTGTTTAGATAATTTTGTTCGCAATTTCGCCTTAAGTTCCTGAGAATTTCAAAGAAAAATATTCATAGTTTTCCTCAAAAATGAACATTTTTGAGGAGGGAATGGAGATGTTGCATGTGTGAGGGATTTGCGATTTGACCATTGATTCTTATGTAAAAGTTCGCGAAAAACATGATGGTGCCACTGGTTTTCTCTGAAATCGACTCCCAGACTCAAAAAAACTCTCAAGTTGAGGCCAAAATGGAGGGGATATCCCACCCTACCCTGAAAGTCCACCTCTACATCGAAACAAACTCTCCATGCAAAGATAGGGAGCAAATACATTAGCAGGGTTGCCGTGTTTTCAGTTTTAGAGTCCCCAAATAAAGTGGCAGCCCTGTCAATGTATTTGCTCGCTATCTTTGCATGGAGAGTTTGTCTTGAAGTAGACGTGGACTCTCAGGGTAGGGTGGGATATCCCCTCCATTTTGGCCTCAACTTGAGAGCTTTTTTTGAGCTTGATTTCAGAGAAACCAGTGACACCATCGTGTCTCTCGCGAACTTTTACACAAGAATCAAAATTCAAGTCGCAAATCCCTCTCAAATGCAACATCTCCATTTTGTTCGCAATTTCACCTTAAGTTCCGGAGAATTTCAAAGAAAAATATTCATAGTTTTCCTCAAAAATAAACATTTCATCGGAGGGAATTTAGCAAATCTCGAATGTTCATACGGCGGTTCTCTTTTGGACGGCAGAATGGAACCGATCACGTTAATTTTCCGCTAGGACAGCGATCGCAGCAAACATCGTATCCTCCGTGGCGTTTGATTGCGGGGCCTCCGCAGAACGAAGAAATTAAGCTCCTTATCGCGTCGTAAATTCAGCTCGTTGATTCCGCCCGCATGCAATGTCTCGATGCTCCTTTTATTTCGAGCCCCCTCCGCCTTGCCTCTGCCGAGATCTCCTAATTACCGGGCAGCGTAATTGAGACCACCTATGCGTATCCTATTACGACTCCTTTGAACCCGCAACCCGCAGAACGCGGAGGCTTAAGTTCAGTCTGGTGCCTTCCGCAGATCCGCAGCGGAGTTCATTATCATAGATGTCGGTTCGGTGGTTCCGAATCGCGGAACTAACGTACAATAGGTATGATGAGACTCGTGATAATGATGCCGTGATACTGAAGAGAACAGTATGACGATCGCATTTTCGAAATTGAGTCTCCTTCACGATTTTACAATCTAATGTACATGAACTGAACACTGGAAAAAAACACATTGGATCTAGAGCCCAGACTCTTAAAAACATCGATAAGAAAAAATACTCTTGATTCAATCGGATTTTTGCTTAAATCAAGAACCAAGCCTCTTAATTTGAGCGGATTTCCTTTTGATTTGAGCAAAAAACAGATTGAATCAAGAGTATTTTTTCTTGTCAATGTTTTCAAGAGTCTGGACTCTAGATCCAATGTGTTTTTTTTCCAGTGAATGATTCTTCTACACGGAAAAATAAGTTTGCTAATTTCAATTTTATCCCTGGTTGATTTTAGCGATCACCAGAAGTGTGATTGCGCTATAGTCAAAGGTATATCGACGGTTGAATTACCAGACTACGTACCTCGTTTGCGAAGTTAATAAAGCTCCGCTTCCGTTTCATATTTGTGAAGGAGAACAAACCGATATCATTCCGTGACGTTTTCACAGATTTTTCTTCACACAGGGAAGAAAAATAACGTGAGTTTTTAAAAATTGACGTTGAGCAGTTTTCCATCCAAGAAATAAAGTGAAACGGAAAGTCCACGATTTAGTTTGGTATTTTTACCGTCAATATGTGGCCAAGTTAGCCAAAAATGTAATTAACTCATCCTTATCTCCAACTGCTACAACCCACCTTCTGACTAGCGCTAAAATCAGGAGGGATTTTACTAAACTATTATTAGCAAGTCATCATCTGGAAGTTAGCAAAATTCACGTTACTTTCAAAGTGAAAGGATCGTTGGAAAGCAGCAAGTGCGCATAATAGTGACGTTGTTAATATTAACATAATAGCAGTGAGTCCACTTTATTTCGCAAAAGAGCTGCACTTACTGCCAGCTTTTGTAAAATGGAACTCATTTCTCCCGATAAAGAACCCTAAAACTTGTTTGTTTATTGTTGGAAACGTATAATTCAATAAGCATGCATGTGCAGAGGATTGCACATACGGCTATTTCGCAGAACATGAGTGTCAAATGAGTTCCTTTTTCATCGTTCAATATAAAATTCAGAGTTTTGACCACTCGAATGATTAAGGAATACCGGATCACTGAAAACTCATAGACATGATTCCCTCCGTCGCTTACAAATCCCAATGCTCATGAATTTCGCCCAATCCCAGAATCGAACGATTCAATCGTCCGTATTTTAATCCAGCAAACGTTTTATCCATCCACCAATCGAGTCGAAAAAGGGTATGGCCTCGCCTCCCCTGGGGAATCCCGCGCACTTTTATCCTGTAATAAGAGCCAAGCCCTCCGCAATCCCAAAGGAGGCTGAGGCCTTAATTTGCCGGTGAGCGATTGTTAATTCGAAGCGCCTTCCCCGACCACGGACCGGGGGGGAGGGGGGGTTCGGGTCCCCGGCGTAGGCGCGAGGTCTAATTAAAACCTTGATTACTCCACGCGAGAAAAGAACAACAAAGCTCCGCGGAAGCCGGAAAAACGTGATTGGATCCCTTTGTAATCTGTGTGAATTACAGCGAGGCGTCGCGGGAGGGGATGGTGGGGGAAGTGGGGGGGGGCGCCCCTCGACTTGTCAAACGGAGTCGGCCGGGGGGCACCGTCGTCGTGGGGTTTAATGAAATTTCGGGACGTCTGGCGAAAGGCCGATGCCGATACGTGGCGATCCAATTCGATCGAGGGTTGAGGGTGGCCGAAACGAAAGGTTCCCTCTGATGTCGACCGGATGACTGCCTCATTTTCCGCGGATAATTCGATTCCCTCGCCGAATCGGGGCCCAGCGGTAAAAGCCCCCGGAATACCTGTGCGTAATTTTGGTTTGGCACTCGGGAAATTACTCGGGGATCCGAGTGAGATTTTTATTCAATATATCTGGTCAGCAAATGAAGCGTAGAGATGATTTAGAAGGGTCCAGTGCGCGAACATGACCTTCTATGGCATAGCGTTACGAATTCGTAACAACTTATTTTGGGGTTTTTAAAAATTGAATCCTTTCTGTGGCAAATTTTCATTAGTGTTTTCTTCTTTTGAATATCTGACTCGGAGTGAGACTTTTATTCAATGTTTCTGGTCAGCAAATGAAGCGTGGAGATGATTTGGACGTAAATGAAGGGTTCACTGCGCGAACATGACCCTCTTTAGCGTTACGAATTCTTAACAACTTATTTTTGGGGTTTTTAAAAATTGACTTTTTTTTTCTGTGGCAAATTTGCATTAGTTTTCTTCTTTTGAATAACTGACTCCCAAATTTTGATAAACAATTTGATACTCTAGGTTTTATATGCGACCTACAAAATAGATTAGTGCCCCCCAAAATGTGAGATTTAAAATTAATTCATGCCACAGAAGGTGGTGCCTGAGGGCTGTATTCATGGCCACTCCTTGATCAGTTACTATCTTCAGGAGGATCCTTATGTTTTCATTAGGTCTGAAGTAGGTTTTAGGAGTTCTTTCAGATTACATTAAAATAACAATTTTGACAAACTAGTAAACCTCAAAAGTAAAACTTGGAAAATAAAACTTAAATCCCAATGATTTCCCTCCATGAAATATGAATGACGTAAAATAAACATTTTAAAAGGTTTTTAAAAGGAGCGATGGTGATAAGGACTATTTTTGGACCCTTTCCCTTCCATACCTCCAGTTAATGCATACATTACGAGTTGAACATAATGTATAATGTAACTGAGCGTGATTAATTCTAGAACTCGTAAGAATTACTTCTTCATCCAAGATTTTCATTGAAAATTGTGCGTATGAGACATGAACAAGGTACGTTTCGTTCACTGAAATTCCGGATTTGGTTATTTTTGCCGATTTAGAGAATCCACTATTTATGTTGACAGAAAATGCTACATGGCACGATACGTTAAGCTATTCCATAAACTCATTAAGGTGGATGAAGTTTCACAAAATTTGATGACAGCGGAATCGATGATTTTACTTCATACATAAAAGTACGTTCAAAGTGACAAAGCTGCTCGGTTGATACAACCGAACTGGATGCACGAGGAATGACTTATTCCTCGTTCTTTTGATGAGAGATTTTCAGTGTTGTGGAAGTATCATTCGTTCATGATCACCAAACAGTTTGGACGCAACCAACAAACTGCAACTATGTCAGTGCGCTCGAGTCATTTTTCAGAAATGTAAATTTCAATTACTCTGCAAGAACCCTCTTTTTGAATTTCTAATTTTAAATTATCTTAAGAAAGTTTGATGGAAAGGATTTTTTATTTTTCATCAAGCATTTATAATGTGTATGTTTGTTCAAGGAAGAAGACAAGTTTTTCGAAGCAAGCGCGGCTGAAAAAAAAAAATCTGTTTTTTTTTAATGCATTGAATTATTTCGCGTCGAAAGTGTGCATACATCTCAGGAAATGCAAACATTCTCCCAGAAAACCAGTAAATTTAGGCTCCTCCATCTAATTTCAAGAATCTGCGTTTTGGAAGCTTATGATAACTGAGCTACTCTCAGTAGAGGTCATGTTGTTCCATTGTAATACTCTTTAATCTCCATCGACGTTAAATTTTCATTTCTAATTGCATAATTTATTCGTTTATGCGAAATTAATCTCTCATGAATTAGCCTCGTGGTTCCAGGGAAATTAGCTGAAATTTTGAGAATAATCCGCAGCAAAACTAGATCTATGCATGATCAGCAATCATCAAATTCTGGCACTTAATTTAAATTTCCGGGTAAAAACGACAGTTCTACCGTCGTACTTTACACATCGTTTAACGTCTACTCGTTAAAACTTTAAAAGTCTACAAAATCTCAGAGTTTTTTTGAAAAATTACACCGCCTTCCTAATTTAATGATGCTGTCTCAGAGTTATAACCGATAAAAGTATAAGACCTTATTTAAATTTTACCTCTATGTTTTGGCATTAATTTCCTAATAAAATAGTTTTTAACTGTTTATCCTTAGCCAATTCCTATCGTCAAATTCTAGGACTCATAAAATTTCATTTTTTTGTCATAATTAGATCAAGATACCCACGAGGCCTGTACGGGCTTTATATGCCATTGAAGGGAATTTTTTTGGATGATACCGTTGTCTCCACAGTTTGAAAGACGATTTAGTTTATTTATAACCAAAAAGGAGGCTTTAAGGGGCCTTCCTGGCCCTTTGGGACCCCCTTCATCAGCGACAAGCCCTCTGCCTGCGTAATTTTAGCGCAAATTGAAACATATCTCACTGGAGATTTGCAGTAGCTCGTATAATCATGTGGCTCAAAAAAGAGAGTGCGCCTTAATTCCTTTGCATATGCAACGCGGTCAACTGTTGAGCAGGAAAAGTTGCATTCGAGCGTCGTCATGGATGTCGATAGCTAAACTCTGACGAAAAGCATCGATATCTGTAATAATTTAGAGTTCCTCTGAGAATACGCTTCTTTAATGCGACGTGGTAAACGTCCTCTCAAATTTATTTTTCCAAAGAAAAATAAACTCGTTCATATTCTTTACTCTGCTCTATTCTTCCGCTAGAATATTTAAGTCATTGTTGGTAATCTTTGAAAAAATTTATATGCACGGGGATTTTAAACCGGTTATTGAGTGGAGTGTTTTCAGAATTCAGTCACCAATATGACAGAATGACAGTTCTGTTCATTTTCATCGGCAGAGATTGTGTTCAGCAAAGATTGTGATGGATGCATCTCTTGTAATTAAGGAAGGATAATTTTTTTTTTTTTTTTTTACGCACGAGGAAAATATGATTATTCAACTAAAAATAATAATTTGCAGATACTTTAAGCGGATTTTCGAGATAAATTGGTCCTTTCAGCAAGAACAGTAATTCGAGAAGAAAAATGACAATGCACTTCTTTACGCAATATTGTTTAAATGCAGAGGTTTTACCCTAGCTTGAAGCTTTAAGTAATTCAAAATGAACGTACGAAAAATACTATCCCGTAATCTTCAAAATATTTTGATATATTCTTGGTTTAATATCGTAAAAAATATGATACAATACCTCACGAGCTGTGTATAAACGCACTGTGACTTAAAATGTATAATTCTTTCTCCCTTCTTTTAATTTCTTTATCGATTCGTCGCGCTCCTTTCCTATTATTTTCTGTTTCAAATTACTCAATTCTAGGAGTATTTTATTATTCTCACGATTTTTAACTAACAATATTTCTCATCATAGAATTCTAAACTGATGATGAACAAATCTTTTAGACCAAATAATTTAAAAATAAAATAGTGGTTAATACGAGTACAAATATTTAACTAGCATTCGTAAAACAATCGTTACTGCTTCCTCATTGAAATAATCGTCTGGTCGTAAAAACAGCGAAGTTAAGCAAATATACTATAAATCTATTTGTTTTTCTGAAATATTTAAGGCATGGATAAAGTTCGAAGGAACTTAAATCAAAATCAAATTTTTGGTACAAATATTAATTTTTTTGGTGCTTTAAAATAATTCTGATTTAGCCAAATACCATAATAAAAATATTAAGAGATTTTATTATTTAATTTGATTCAAAAATGGTACTCTACAGGTCGGAGGATTTTGGCTTAGTTCCCAAAACATCCCGTACGTTAATTTCGTGTATTTTGAGCATTCAAAGAATTAATAAGGGATTTAACTCCCCATCTCCGCTAAACTCTAGGAACAATCTGGAGCAAGAATGACAAATAATTTCTGAAATATTTCCATCTGACAAGCGACTTCAAAATAAAGTATCTTTTCTGAGAATTAACATTGTTTTAAGATTGTTTGGTATGGTAGTCAAGTACTAGATGAATACAAAAAACAGGGTCTTGCGAACTCTCACAGTACTTAGTACTCACAGTACTCACTCTTCTCAGTAGTGGTAACTTGCACTGTTATTTCTGCTAGTAAACTGTTAATTTCAATAAAATTCTGTTCCTGACAATTATTGCGCTCGGTAGAAAACTGTCAAGTTTATTTAAAACAAAAACAAATTTGAGACTTTTCTACCGAGCGCAATAATTGTCAGGAACAGAATTTTATTAAAATTAACAGTTTACTAGCAGAAATAACAGTGCAAGTTACCACTACTATTGAACTGCAGTAAGCTCCATTAATTTTTGGAATAATTGTAATTTAACAGTGTATGTGTGCGTGTTTTTTGCATTTAATTTTTTTAAGCCCTGGTTTTAAGGTAAGTTTCACTCAAATATCTTCGTTGCATATCTTCGTGGCATTATATCGATGGTGAAACTGTAGAAATGCGTAACTTGGTAGGCGGCGTTGCAAACTACCTGTCATATTTTATTTCCTACATGGAAAACTACTAAACGTCATTTTTTAAAATTTTAATGATTTTTTTTGCTTATAAAGAATATTCTGTGCAAATTTCAAGCCAGAATGTTGGTTTGGTCCCTCTGAAAAAAGTAAAATAGTAGAGGAGATTTCAAAACACTGAAACCGAGACACGTATTTTTCAGTCTCACCGCCGATATTTATTCTACCGCGCTAAGCAAGAACGCCGTAAATTTATCAACATTTTCCCTCGTTTTTTGGAACTTAACACTTTATAAAATAAAAACTGTTTTACCCGTGCATCTCAAATTTTCAGGTTAAGTTCTTGATAGTATTTGCGAGAGAAATATGTAAATTCATTGCCCGAAGGTACACAAGTTTTTCTGCTATGATGCATTGTTTCCAAAAAATGTGAAATGACGTTTTCGGCGTTTTTGCGTTGCACGGCAGATATCACGCCGCAAACATCTCACCCTCGATGATTTTACAGAATAAATTACAGCGATATATACAATTATATTTCGCAACACGAGGTATTTTTTCAAATACTATACAAATAAATAAAATTACCTCACGAATCTCTCATCCCGATCCGGGAAGCCGGCCGGCGCGGGCCACGGTCATCTCCATCGAAACCGAACATACTCACATCGCCCAGAGCGAACGCTCAAGAATCAACTAATCGGCGACAACCAAAACAATACGTTCGAAAAAACCTATCTCAAGCTAAAATTGCACATTTCCTGAATCGGAACTCGCAGACAGCGAGCAGATTTCGCAGACGCCGGCAAAAAAACCGGCCGGGCCTCCGGTGAACAAGGAAAAAATCACGGGGCTATTCCGCGAGCGCTGCGGAAATTTTTTCAAAGCGCGGAGGTGAAATTTTCAAACAATTCAGCGCGCTAAATTTCCAGGGAAATTTATTTTTGCGCTCGTTACGAGTCGATTGAGGACCGCGCGATGTTCGTCACAGCCGCACGGAGCTGCTCTTCACACTGACGCAACCAGCTGTTGAATGGTCGGGCGAGACTTTTGTTTTGATCAATGGCGCGACGGAGCATGCGCCCCCCGACGCGCCACCCCTTTCCCCCCCTTCGTTCCACCCCCCTCTCATCGTCGCCCGCCCCCGCTCCCAGCGGCTCGTTAAACCAATATCAAAATCGCGATAATCATCGTTACCACATTCTTAATATCATTATCCGTCATTAAAACCCGTTTTGTCATTAAGGCCCCCGCGCGGGGCGGGAGGGGGGACCTTCCGGGGAGCAGGTAATTAAGAGCGTGATTGCATCGCTAAGGGCTGTCGAGATGAGGGCTTGAACTTTTGGCTCCGGTGTCTTGTGCGAATTTCGCGCTGCATTCTCCTGCGGGTAGGTCTCAAGTAACGACTGCCCGAGGCGAGGAGCGAAGCTCTTTGCCTGCGTGTATACCTTTCATGATGTGCATTTACGGGGAATCTCGTCGAATGCATACGTTTATCTTACTTCTAGTTGCTCAGAGCAAAGTTGCAAGTTGCTGGTCTTTATCAAAATATTAAAAAAAAATGATGGTTTTGATACTAAAGTATTGGTTTTTCATACGAGCTTTTAACGAATGTTACCCAAAACATGTTTTACCGTTGAGTCTTAATCGCACCAAATTTCCACTACCACTAATCTGCCGTGCTAAGGAAAAACGCCTCATAAACATTCGAGAGAAGCCAAATTTTCCTCGATAAAACATGTATTTTTGACGACAGTCGCGCACATTTTTCTTTGAATTTTCAGATATTTTAGATTAAATTGCGTACAAAGTAGTCTGAAAATTTTGGAAAAAATATTCACAATTTTTCCAGTAGATTCGGTTTTTATCAAAGGAGACTTGGTAACGTCTGAAGGCTCACACGGCGTTCTTCCTTAGCACGGCAGTAATCTGGTTCTCATAACACACATTTTTCGAAGTGTAGTCAGGGCTCAGGGATGTTTAATGCAGACGTGCGGAAAAAATTTACTTCGAGAGGATCGTAAAAAAAAATGAGTTTTGAACAAACGCATGCCCTATTTTTACCGAGCTGAGCCAACCGGTACTGTGCACTGAAAAATATATTCCTGTAAAATATGCCGTGACAGGAATACTCGTTGCGTTTACCGGATAATATCCTAGCGACAGAATGTAAATCTGAAGGAAGCAACAAGAATACTGAATGAAACAAGGAAATTTCACTCCAACCGCCGTATTTGGTTAATTCAAATGCGTCTGTCGTGATTTAGGTAACATTCTGATCGGGGTACGGATTGTAATACAAAATATCTTGCTGGCTCAATTTTATACACTGTTTGAGTGTTGGTAAGAAAAGACAATGATCAAAATTGTCGCCCATCAAAAAGGTGGCTCAGTCTGGCCCTGTTGCATACATTTCATAAAGTGAAGTCATGCTATTTTGAGAAAATCAATGTGAAGTACTTAACTTTTACTTCAAGAGTAGCATTTTGGATTAAAAAGTGATAGAAAGAGGATATATTGAACGCATTTATGCTAAAAGGAACTATTTTGCACAAACTATATGCACATAGTTCCTTTTGGCATAAATACGTCCTATTTTAAATCCCTTACAATCGCAAACATGATTAAATTATGCTATTTTGAAAATATCGATCTCAAATACTTATTATAACTTTTACCGCAAAAAACCACTTTGGATCAAATTTCGTTATAATGAGGATGTATCTTAAATCCCTTACAATAGCAATTATGACTAAATTATGCCATTTTGAAAATATTAATCTGAAGTACTTAACAATTTCACTGCAAGAATAACATTTTGGATCAATGTATGTCAGGATGAGGATGTATACTCAATCCCTTACAATAGCACGGTAAAAATGATTAAATTTAGCCAATACATGTCTGGTTCCCGGCGAAAGTTCGGTTCTATTTCATTACCGATGATTCCCCGCCGTGCGACAATGGAAAAAGAATGAAATTAGCCAGCGAGCAGGGGAAAAAACCAGGTTCACCGAGCAAATAATTAATTCAGAAATACCTCACGATGAGGTTGCTCTGAGGGTGACTGTTGCATCGTTGGTAAGTAAATAAACGAATTAAAGTTTAAATCCGAGGATTTAGGGTCGGCAAAAAAAGGGGAAAAAACCAAGGGTAGATAACGACGAGTTGCCATGGTTACCGCTGATATCCATGTGTTCATTGGGAGCGGTCTCTGTTTTCACTTATTATTTTCGACGACGGACGGATCTCCTGTCCGTAATTGGACGCGACGTTTCCAATTAAAAATCCTCGTCCGATGAGCTTAAGACTCGATAATTATTTTTTTTTTTTATTTTTTTCGTCCGGGGAGCGGATTATCGGGAGGGCTCAACGGTATCGGATGGAAGGTCGCCATAAATATGGATGAGTCTGAAGTTTTATCATATTGATTTTGAGCGTGAATAATTGGTGTCCACTGAGGGCAGGGGTGAATGCGCGGGGTCATCCTGCTGTGCTACGAAAGAAAGTTGTATGAGCTTTCGAAGTTTGCCACATCGACCCTTGTAATCTACGTACTTTAGTCAAAATTTTTGAATATTGCTCCAAGAAATTTTAAGATAAGTAATTTTTCTAGTTTCACTAAGCTCTTCCAAATTTCTTCCAAATTTTTCTTGCGAGTGGTTTTGTTGTTAGGCAAAATTAGGGGTCACGCGCAATCCCAGCATGAAAAAGGCAGATGCGAGCAGTGGTTTCCAATCTCTACCTGTGGCTTATGCCCAAAACCACAAAAACCGAAGAAAACCGCTTCTTGTTGTAGGTCACTGGTTTCGACGCGTTAAGCTCGTCACATGGAAATGTTATAATGGCTTCTCCATCACACCTGCATTGGGAAAAAGCAGAAAGGATATGCACAAAGGATATTATCTCAGGACAGGAAGGGAGGTTTTATCGCGGCGCAGCGTTGTAAGAGCTACGATAATTATCAGCATATAAAATTGAAGTAGCATAAGGCACGAAATTTAAAATTCAGTATCCAACAACGACGCTACGATGGTAAAGTGTGGTCAACAAGGTTGTCAGCTGTGGGCGAGAGAGAAAAATTAAATTGATTGTAAAATTTGATTGAACGTGATGGGAGAAAACCATATTATCAGTCTTATGTCTGTAAGATGAGGGTTAGAAGTCTCCCTTGTCCAAAATTTTAAAATTTAGTCTCAATAACATTTAGTTTTTGAAATTAAGTCCATAAACTTAGGTATACCCGCAACAATAGGGAATAAACACATCTTACAGAGATCAGTTGGAAAAAAAAAAAAAAAAAATCTTAACAAAACAAATCAAACCTTCATAGTGGAACTTATTTATTCATTATTCATTATCAGTGAACGGTCCTGCGCATAACGAGTTTTAGGATAAATGATTGCATTGAGTTCTACGGCTAACAACAACTTCAAATGGGCATCATGAAGCGCAAAATTTAATTACCTATTTAGGCCCTTATTTTCTCTCCCTTCTCATATTTTAAGATCAAGTGTGCTTGACATTACAAACATCTTACATTTTTCAGGTAGATCACTTGAGAAGTATGGAAACACAATCTTTAGCTTGTTTTAAAATAAACTTTTGTGCCATAATTTTTTTATGCGGGAAGGTGATTCTGTAGACTAGTCAGAAATAGTGTATGATTTCACCCGATTATTCTCCTTTTCATTCACCGAAGGTTCTTACCATCAAACTGAAGCTATGGGTTTTAACGTTTATGACGAATGGTGAAGCTGACATTACATAAGTGCATATGCTATCAGCTAAAAATACACTTTTTGAAGATAAAATTCATTTCTTCCCCGCTGAATTTAGCAGTGTTTGTAACTTTAGAGGATCTTGGCAACGGTGGTATGAAGGTAGTAATTCATAATTTTAATTAAAAAAACAAGGGTAGGAGCCGCGCGTTCATTTTTAGTTTCCTTAATCTAGAAAATAATTATTTTAAAACGGTCTGCGTTTTTTCTTTGAAATGCGCGCACATTTCCTTCGCCAGCGGAATGCCTTGTGACCTTTACCCCCGCTGACGATTGTAATTTGTGTTATCTTGCCGGAGAACCCGACTTTGCTGTCTTCCTTAAAGCAGCGGTTTTATGAAGATTCTTCATTTTTATTTGCTTTTTTTTCGCAAACCGAGCTCTTTTTCATTGCTGTACGCAGGCAGATAGGGTGAAGTCCTTACTTTTTGAGAAATGAATGAATACACATACCTGTGTGTAAACTGTAGTGTGGTAATAAGGGTTCAAAAAATTGAAACCAATGGCAAGTGGTTTGAAAATTTTTCATTGAGACAATGTTGATCCAGTTTCCCTCTTTTCTCTATAAATCATTATGGATTGCCGCAACTGCTTCCCTTTTCACATGAATTGTTGGATTAGAAATGGGTTGTATCTCTTACGTTGATTCAAGACTAAAATTCATCTCCAAATCACGCTTCATTAATGGCCTCTAAAATATCAACATTTCCAGATAAAGGCCCTGTTGGGGACCTCAGATTCCCCTTCCAAATTGCGTCATTGATTTTGGTCCTAGAATTGTCACCAAAATTTGAAAAAAAAATGATTATCCCACAAAATTTTGGGAGGCTTAGGTTCCTCTTGAGAGCACTCTTGAAAAAAACTTCATAGAGGACAAAATTATTATTTGAGCCCAGTACGCTCTTGCAGTATGGCGGGTGTAACTGCCGACAATCAGTGCATCGTTTGACTCCGGTAAAGCGATTCTTAAACGATAGAATACGACATTTGAAAAAAAAAAAAAAGGGGGGAAAAAAAATGATTATCTTAAAAAAATTTGGATGCCTACGGCTCCTCCCGGGAGCACTCTTGACAAAAACTTCATAGGAGACAAAATTATTCTTTCAACCCAGTGCGCTCCTGCAGTATGGCGGTTTAACCTCCGACAACCAGTGCATCATTTTACTTAGGTGAAGCGGTTCTTAAACGATGGAATACGACATTTGAAAAAAAAAAAAAAATGATTATCTCAA